GGGCTGCCGGGCGGCGCCCGGGCGGCTGCGCCGGGCCACTACGTCGCGCCCGCGGCGGCCCGCCGCCTCGTCGAGGCCTACTACTGCCGGCCGCAGTTCGCGGGCGTGGCCGTGTGGGACGCCACGTACGCCGCCGCGTCGCAGCCCTTTTACGCCTCGGTCAAGGGCGCCCTCGCGCGCGCGAGCGCCGACCGCAGGCTGCGGCAGTGTCCTCCGGTGCGCAGGCAATCTTGACGGCTTGTGAAGAAACGCGTCTCCTCCCCGCCCCCCGCTGACTGCGCGACTCATCCCTTCTCGTCCCCAGGAACCGAAGCCCGCAGCTGCTTCATCCGTGAATACGGGAGCCTGTGGCATGTCGCATCCCAAGTGCCCAAGCTGGCTTTGCTGCAGCAGGCATGGATATTGCGGCCAGTCAGCCGCGTATTGTGGTGCTGGATGTCAGAGGGCGTTTGGTATCTGTTCCTAGATTACTACGACAAGGAATGGGTCTGTTGGGTAGGGGATATGAACACGCAACAGATGGCATCAAGATACTCGATAATTGGATATGATATATTGGAGAATATAATCTACTGTTGGGCCACGACGAGGCCGGGAATGTATCCCTCAGATATCATATCGCCGCTAGTCGGGCCCCGACAAGCCATGCCTGATCCATAAACTCTTTTGAGAAACAACAGAAATCACAGGTTGCTTGTCCCCCAAAACTCCCGAGCACGAGGGCAAGGCCGGCACCGCGGCCGTTGCTTTCATGGCTCAACACATGGCCTTTATCTTTGCCCCCTCGCAGCCCTCTGCGCCGTCCAATAACTGCGACTGGCCCCGGGGCCAAGAGGCCGAGTCCCGGAGCTGCCGATCAAGGAAAATCATGAACAAATGAGAATTGGCGATATCGCCGGGTAGTAGATACATTTCTGCGCTCCGCACCTTGGGCCGTCGCGAGGGAAGCGGCCCTGGAAAGAATTATACCAAGAAGGAAGAGAAAAAGAAATGGGTGGATATGTAGATGACCCTTCGCGGGACCAATAAACAAAGGAAAGATAAACGCCGTGTCTATGCAAGAGTGTCATAGTAGAGGTGCGAGGGTGACCCGGCCCGGGGTCGATGCATAGCCTCTCTCTCGATATTAGGAATGACTCCTCAGGAGGGCCAAATCGCTCTCAGGCGCCGCCCAAGACCACACATGGGCGGCTGAGGAGTCATTGGGAGTAGGTAGAGGGGGTGGGTATATATGATATAATATGGTGGTTAAGACGCCAAGCGGAGAGCGCGCATCAGGGGAAGTCTCGTCGGTCGCTGGGATCTCTCGGCGGCTGGTATGGCTGGTGTCTCCTGCCGTCCTCGCCCCGGGAAGCGACCCACTCGGCGTTGCCGCTCTGACGACCAGGTTGCTCTGCAGGCACCTTGGTGTCTTCGGACGCGGACCCGGAGCCGGCACGGCCGGAGCCCGAGCCAGAGGCAAACCCGGTGGGGTTGGGGACCAGACGGGTCACGGCCTGTGCGATGGAGTTGACGACGTGCTGACGCAGCTCTCGGTCCTCCCTGGAGTCCTCCTTCTCTAGATGGAATCGTTCCTCCTTGCCCATGTTGGCTCGTCGGATATTCTTAATCTCCTGCATGATGTAGAGCATCACCTCCTCCGGGCACTTGTTCCTCTCGAGCGAGTACTCGCTTTTGCGGACGTAGCGTCGCGTCACGTCGGTGGCTCCGTCGATAGAAAATGCCACGCAATACGACATCTTCTTGCCCCAACCCTCAGTGTAGAGACGGGGATTGTCCCAGGCCTCTTCGCAGGCGTCGACGTGGATCCATCGCTTCTGATGCTCCGAGTATATTTCGGTCCAGACATGGTCTTCCTGGTTCCACACCCAGCGCACACGGCTGCCCACGGCGCGGCATAGCATGCTGAAGCAGTTTGCCCACTCGCCGCACCGGCCACGCCGTGTCTGAAGTAGCCTCCAGACATCGCTGTAGCGAGGAAAACGCTCATAGGCGCCACATTCGGCATTCGAGCAGCGGTAAAGCTCCACCAGTAGGGCACCACACGCATTCTCTTCGGGAGTCGGCGCCGTCTTGCCATGCCCCGTGGTTGGTGACATGCACATTGGACATGGCGGGTTGTTGATCCAAGTAAAAAAAGACCGCTTAAACCACCTTTATGAGAAGCAAGTCAGCCAACCGTCCAGCTTCCAACAAGGCAGTCTATGAGACTGTCGTAGCAGACAGGATGTATAAAGATCAACATACCTCAAGAGCGCGCGGATGACGCAATCCTGATACCCCCACTCGGGCGAGGATCCGTCTCCCAAGCTCTCGGCCTGGGCCTGAAGCACTTGTGCCTCCTCCTCGGCCTCGCCGTAGATGCGATCCAGCGGGATGACCTGTAGCGCCTCGTCTAGGAGGCCAGGGTTTTCGTACTTTGTTGGGGTTGTCGACAGAGTGATCAAAAGATTTCTAAATTTTTGAGACTCCTTATCGCTAGCGGCGGGAGGTGTTGGTATCAAGGGGAGATTCCGTAATGACGAGTATGAAGGTGGTGTTGCACCGGCCTGGTTGGCATGTGACGTTGACGGACGCGACGACGAGGGGGAAGAGAAGCCGGGACCGGGTGCCGGGCTGCCGTCTCTAGACGCCGGGGAGTCCTGGCGGGACCGAGATCGATCGAGCTCGTTCAGGCGCTTGTTCCGGAGCAGTCGCTCAAATCGCAGGCGCAGGTCCTTAGCCCACTCCTCGCCATACTCGTCGCCACGCGGCCCGGAGCCATCCTGATCCGAGGCCATCGCACCAGCGGGGGATTCGTGCAGGTTCGGCGGGATTGCGTCTCGCCGCGAGACTGTCGGCCCGTCTGTCGTCGGGGTCGGGTCGGGTTACTCTGTTCCGATCGGATATCGCCGCCGACTGATGATCGCTCAAGAATATGCCCGAGTGGCTTGTATGACGCACACGTGTACGGGCGCGGGCGCAAAAACACAGGCACAAGCACACGCACAGGCACAAGAACACACCCGCAAGACCTATGTCCCCGTGTTCCCTCCCGGTCTTGGGTCCTCCCTCGCGTTCACTCCAGCTGGCGGGCCACACGGGTTGCCGAGATTGCTGGTGGTGGTGGTGTGCCACGGGCTGTTGGTTGGTGTTGGTCGCAGGACTGGTGATGTATCGCGCGGGTTGGGGTCTTGGATTGTCGACCAGGTATGTTTATCGACAGGGGGGCAAGCGCGGTCGGCAGCAAGCACTGCGACGGTCGCTAAGACGACGGGCGACCGAGGATGGACGGCGGCGATGACGGCAAGCGAGTGCAGCGGCCAGGTGTAGGCGCTGTGTAGAAATGGCCGGCAGCAGAGAAGGGGGAGGAGGATTCGGGGGGTGGGAGAGGAAGAAGAGCGGATTGACGGCACGGGAGGTGGATAATAGACGGCTCAAGGAGCCCTAGAGGTCGTAAAGGCTAGAGAGGGCGACGCAGCACCCCCCTGGCCCTGTTGCGTACGTCGGGCGAGAGAAGATTTGGCAGCAGTCGAGGGCAGAAAGGTACCATCCGGGCCCGGGCGACAGCGCAATTGGTGGGGGCTGTGGTCTTGAGTGACAAGAGAGACGAAGCGCAAACGTAAGCCATGGGCGGGAGGGGGAAAGCAAGCCGATCCACTTCGTCGTGAACGCGCGTCGTGGGCCAGCCGAGCCAATGGGACGTCGAGGCCGCGGGTGGATCCGACTAAGTGTCGACTGCGCCATCAACTGCGAGTCCCAGATGGGCCCTCCCCCAGGTCCAAGGCCAGCAGAGGTACTCGGTACCGTGGCGGAATGCCCTTTTGGGCTGCGAGGGTGCACGGCCTCCCCTATCCGCACGGCCTGCTCGCACTGGCAGCCGCCTGGCCTCGCAGCGCCTGGCAGCCGTCGTGCGCTGCTTCCAGAAGCTCCAGGCCGTGGTCGGCACGATGCAGCTGACCTCCAGCGCCAGCCAGAGCCCGTGCCTGGCCTGGTCTCTGCTACCTGATGCCCAGCCAGGCCGGGCCGCCGAATGGGGATGAGCCCACCTTGGCCCCTCACTTTCTTGCAGCTGGATGCCGTTTCTGCCGGCCTAGACTCACATTGAATTGAGGCCTCGGGATAAGGCATTCTGCATTCCGTCGCTGCCTCTCTTTGCACGCACCGCATTGGAGACTTGCACCACCAGCCAGCAGAACCAGACTTTTGCCCGCCCGCCCAACTTCTAGGTATGACAATAAATGCCAGTTCGGGCACGTGGCATATAGCTCCCCGTCGCCCTTCTCTTGGTTCGGACAAAATAAGACGAGAGGCAGCAAAAAAAAAAAAAAAAAAGAGGAGAAAATTAAAGTTGAGGCTCTGTAGGCGCTCCGTCACCATACCTCTAGGGATGCCCCAAAATTGCCAGCGCTCTTTGCTTTCATTTCTACCGCCCGAGTCATATCGGCTCGAGAGACCTGGACCTGGTCTCCTTTTAGCGCCCCTTTCTTATACCTATCCACCTAGGTATATATTGCATCCCTCGTCCCCGCCGTGGCCGACGTGATGCAATTATGCCCCCAGATCCGTCCTTTGTCTACCCGTCAACCCTACCCAGCAGCGAACCTCCCTGATTTCCCTCCGCGCACCAGGGGGAGAAATGATGGCAAGGGTACCGCAAAATCCGGCGGAGCCTCCAGTGCCGTGTGCCGAAAGCAATGACGGCCAGCCCAGGTGTTGCTGCATGTGCCTGCTGCCATCAACACATAGAAAAAGGCCGACATTGGTCTCCCACCCCAAACGACCCCCACCACGACGACGACGACAGGGGGGTGTGGCCACCGCTACCACTCGTTTCATTCGGGGATGCGAACAAGACGCAGACGGTGCAGCACCGGGCTTCGGTCGCTGCAGCAAGTTTGCTTGTTGGTTGGCAGGCAGGGAATTTGTGGGGATGCCGATAACGATAGGTATCCGCAACGCGTGGCCCCCAGACCATGGATGGCGACTGAGCACACTTTTGGCGAGTGCATCACCACACCCAAAAAGTCCCTGCTGTGTGCGCCCTGCCCAAGACATTGGCTCGCGAAGAACCCCCCAGGGCAAACAAAGCCGGGCGGTGAACAGGTCTACTGCCACGCGGGCCCGGAAGCCAATGCGAAACATGCTGACCCTTCAGTGTCTGGTCCGAGGCTGGGAGGTGGAGGGTACTTTGGCAATGGCTGATCAGAGGCGGCTGTACGCGTCACGTGGGACATTTAGGCCGCCCACAGCACGCGGCAGTCGCCTCAATCAGCGAGGGGGCAAATGAGGGATCGCGGGCTTTGCGTGGCACCGCGGCTGGTCTGTCTGGTGGTATCGGAGGATCGTGAACGGGTCATCCTGACACCAGGTAGATAGCCGTGTCGATCCTTTACGGATTCAAAGAGCCCTGCGCCGCGGTGGTGGCGGATTCGATCACCTTTTTTTTTTTCATTCTCTCCGTTCTGCTGGAGGAGCTCCCATCCTGGACGGCGGCCACGAATGGCCTCCCTAGACCCCGAGTTGAGAGCAAGTCCGTCCACCCCAAGTTTGTCAAGCGCCGCACCCAGGGGGGGTGAGCGCATCGTTTGATAGTCCGTGGGGATTGCGTGGCCCAGTCCACCATGTCCGCCCTCTTGCGCGTTGCCACCTTGGCCGACCCCTGGTTCTGGATTACGCACTGACGGCCGCCTACTGGCAGACGCAAACAGAGGGATCACGGGAATCGTGAAGTCAAGACAAAAAAAAGAAGTGGAAATAATTGAAAACAATCATGATGATAAAGTAAAAAGGGACCGATCCGTTCTCACAGGCTTGCTCGAGGTACCACTTCCATCATTTGACGAGATTGAAGGGAGGTGCAGTGCAGCCGCGGCTTGGAGAAAAAAAACGCCCGCCCATATCCCGAAGCGTCGTTTCTTACAGATAGCCTTTTCGGGCCCTTTTCTGACATCCATGGCTTGTGTGCGGTTGTAGCACCTGACGACAGACACGTCCCCCATTACCATCTTACCCCCAAGCAAGATCCGCAGGCAAAAAAAAACCAAAAAAAACCAAAAAAAAACGGCCTCACCCCCAGGTATCCCCCCCCGCGGGCGCTGACGCATCTGGACCAGTGCCAAGCCAACGCAAACCAAGCAGCTTTCTGCGGGAGGGGGGACCTGCTGGCTCCCGGCAGCGTGTTCCCAACCAACTGTCCGTGTCGTAGCAAGGCCCCGGAAAGCGTATACGGCGCAGTGCCAGCCGGGGCGGACGCGCGTCTTTGAACCCTCCCCATCCCACAAAGATACATCATGTACATACATGACGCCGCTGCCGCACGCTCGTTTTGGTCTCAAAGCTTCTCGAATGACTTGCTGCATCCCTGCCGCTGCCGCCGTCCGTGTGCTTCCCTTCCTTTCTGTCTCTCTTCTGTCCTGCTTACGCTGTAGCTCTCCTCCTCCCACCCATCGTTTTGTGTTTCTCGGCCGGTTTGCCCTGTTGTCCGTGTTTAATTGGATCGCCATCCTGGCACGCCGAGAGACGGACAGACTTCCATCCCGGGAATCGACCCGTGTAGGCACAATCGGGCTGCGGACGGGTCATCCGACCACATGGCCATGGGGAAAGGGCAACGCGAGCCGGTGGGGTTTGTCTGTCTTTCTGGCGGGTAAGAGATGAGCCGTTTCCGACTCTGGCCTGGAGAGCAGGACCGCGCGGTTGCCTTCAGAAGCCTCGCAACCCCCCCGGCCCTGGGCCAGGGAAACAAACCGTAGATGTTGCTCTTGTTTCCAAACCTTGGCACCAGATCGGAAGTAGCTTATTAGGGCAAACGTAGTGACGGAAGAGGTGCATGCCGAAAGGGTGGTTGATACATAGATAGACAGATAGATGACGCTCGGTCTGCTTTATTTTACATCTGGCCCTGGATAGCCTCGATGCCTCCATACCTAAGTAGGTACATGTCCTGCCCCGGCAAGCCTGGGCTTATCTGACTGACCCTTGATCATCAAGGTTAGGCTCGAGAAGTCCTGTCGTCTCTTTCGCTGTCTGTCACATACCTCGGAGGTAGCACATCCCAGAGCGGCCGCTCGATAAGGGCCATCTCTAGGTGGCGCTGCCGGGCGGCCCCTGACGCGGACGCAGCAGCTAACGACTCCAGAGGAACAGCACCTAATATCGGGCGATATTTGAAAGTGTGCCAAAATCCCACGCCCCTGGTTTTCTCTTTAGCCTCCTCCTCGTCGGCGACGCGACCGGCCCGCATGGCCTGGAGCTCACCGCCGTCAGACTCGTCGTCTTCGTCGTGCTCCAGTGCATCGAGCCGAGCCTCGTCCGCGTCATCCATCTCCATCTCGACCCACTCTGTTGTTCGTCCATTGTCTGCGGACACCGCCTTCTGCACCTTGAGCGAATCGAGACAGCCTGTGCCCATCCGGCCTCCAGCTCCGCTCGTGTTGTTGTCTCGCTTCCTCTTCATTCCTTGCTTGGGGTGGTCAGGTTCCCGGCCCTGTTGATTCTCCAAGGGCAGGTCCTGGGACAGGTCGAACATGAAAAGCGAAGAGAGGCCATAGAGCCACACCCTTGAGCCTTGCCACAAAGCGCCCTTGATGAGGTCCCGGCTGGAGCGGAAGGCTTCCGGGAATTGGGGATATCTGTTCCGGCGTGACCACGGAATCAAGGTCCCGCCGACGGCGTCAAAGACCAGTAGTCGTGACGTACTTGTGACGGCCAAGAGTTCGTAAGCACGAGGTGTGGTGTCCTGTGCCGCCGGGCCCTTCGGGACGTCGCCCGAAAACGACAAGACGGTTGCGGCACTTGGAAGTTTCGGGATTAGAGAGGCCTTTGGATTACGAATCCATGCGCCGCGGGGGACACGCGCCGCGCTCTCGTCGTCAGAAGAGTCGTCAGTCGAGGAGTCGTGAGACCGAGACAGGTCGGCCAACGCGTCATCGCCACCCTCCACATCCTGCCCGTCAACGCCGCCCCGCACAAGCCATGTATCTACGTAGCCGGCCAGGTCCGCCGTCGCGAGCATCCGGCTATCTGGCGAAAAGGCAACATGTGAGATGCGTCTGCTGTACGTGCCCACCCATGAGAGAGATGCCAGCTGCGCGGCTTCGCGATGCAGTCTCCTCAGCCGCTGTCGATCAGAGCCGTGATGAATGCAGAACTCCCCAGTAGACGGCTCAATCGCAGTCTTGAGGACCATCAGCTCGCTACCTTCGCGCACCAGACAGATCCATTTCCCATTAGGGGATACCCGGGAAAGTGTTGCGCCCAGGTTTGCGACGCTTTCAGGCAAGGTTATTCTGGTGACCCGGAGCTCCTCTCTGGCGGAAATGGATGACTCGAAGTCCAGCTGGAACAATTTGAGCTCGGCTGCCGTAGATACGACCAAGAGGGATCCGTTGCTGCTAACGGATGCGGACGTGATGTCCGAGTTGCCCTTGATCAGCATCCTCTTGAGGGCCTTGGGAGGCTGTGATCCCTCGAGCTCGCCGTCGAGACCAACAGGGTCCGGTGTGCGTTCTGGCAGCCTCCAGATCTGGATCTCTCTGCCCCACCAGCTTACGACGACACGGGCCTCTGGTGCGCTCGCCACGGGAACAGCCTGCGGCAAGTGCGGCAGCGTCCTGTGGTTTTCCAGTCCTGCTTCCCTGAGGGGGATGACAATAGGGCAAGCATCAGAGCCTGGCGAATTTAAGTATTAGCTGCGTGGCCATAGAATACCGAAAATCGTCGATGCAATAAAGCAACAGGTGAAAATGGCTAGCGTTCTTACCTCCAGAGACAATAACGCTCATTCCTCTACCCTCGAATGCGGCCATGGCCTTGACATCGTGGGCGTGGTATCTCCGATGGAAGACCTTGGCCCAGCGGGCGTTCTGACTAGACATACGCTTATACAAGACGGTCTTCTTGTCCATGCCGCCGCTGACAATAGCGGAGCCATTGGCGCTGACTGACAGACTCAGGACGTCTTGGCTGTGGCTCTGAATGCGCTGGGCCTGTGTGTACGTCTTGCCGTCCCATATACAGACCTGGCCGGTCGAGTCTCCGGAGACGATGTCGCCGTTTGGCAGCGCCTTGACGCACCAAACGATGACATCCTTGGATCCGCCTGCGAGGTCGCGACCAAGCGTCATCTTCCGGACCACAGAGCCGTTCCTGACATCGTAGACCCGTATGCTAGCGTCGGAACACCCGACCGCGACGATGTGGCGGGACTGGAAGGCGATGCTGACGAAGTGGATCTTCTTGGACGGTGACTTCACCAGGATTCTCTGGAGGCGTAGGTCATCGTCTTCTATCGAGTACAGGACCAGGCAACCGTCACCGGTGCCGGCCACCAGGCGGTTTGGACTCTGGCCCTGCGGGGCAGGCTGGAGCCCGAGGCACCATATATCGCCGTGCTGGCCGCTGGCATGTTTCCGCGCCTTGCCCTTGGCCAGATCCCACTCGGTCACGGTCGGGCCGCCGCCGATGCTGAAGAGCCTAGACTTCCCGAAAGCGATGCCGCCGTCTGCGAGCGGCTCGTCGCGCTCCGTGGCCCAGACGAGGGCGTCGACTTTGCGGCCCATGCCGCCGTGGATTATGACCTCCTGGTGCCAGGCGCCCTCCAGGGGGTCCCAGATCTCGATGTCGCCATTCTCCCTGCCGACGGCCAGGCGGATGGGGATCTGCTTCTGCGCCTTGTCGGCAGCAGAGATATAGGGGCGGTTGAAGGCGAGGCTGTTGATCGACGACGTCGGAAACGGAACGAAGCGGCACCGATGGATGTCCATGGCGCCGGCGCTCGGTGCGATGGCGCTTATTGGTAGAAGAGACAGGCGATCTCGAGGTTCGCTACCGTCAGTCTTGTGTCACGGTTATTGAGTTGGTTGCGAGGGGTGCATGCGCACAATGGCTCAAGGGGAGCTCGGCGATTTACGTGGTCGGTCGACGCCGTTAGTCGCAACCTGGAGCTTTCATAAGCTATGGTCGCGACTTGGTTTTTTTTTTTTCTGCCGTCTCGTTATCGGGTCTATTCTGAGGGGCGATAAGACCCTGCGCTACGCCAGGCGGGCCCACTCGGCTCCCGCGCCCGGGTTTTGGCCCCGCAGTCGGCTGGGCCCAGCTCTTTGGTCGCTCATAACGCCGCCAAAATATGCTCCCTGTCGGAATGACACACATCGTGCTCCCCTCTCTGTCCTAACCCCGGGCATTTTACCCAAGAGGTGCTTCCCTAGGGACCATCCGCCATCTCCTTGCTCTGATCAGCAACATATGCCCATATGACCACCCGTCCAAACAGGCATTCGCGCATATTTGCCGAATCACAAAGGGTTCTAGACGCCCTGCAGCACGGCACGAGACGGCGCGAGACGGGACTTGCTGGCAGCATAGGTAGTTGCCAGCCACAATGCCCCAAGTCCGAACGCCGCTCGAGCGACGGCCAGTTTATTGGTCGTCATGGACGGCACCATGAGCGCTGCGCCAGCCTCCGCACCCTCAATTGAGGTTGGGACGGGGGAAATGAAGTGGTGTGTTTGGTTGCATGCGAGGGACTTGTGTTAGCATCGGCCACTGTGCCAAACAGCGCCCGCAAAACCAGCGCTTCTAAACAGCTGATAGGCGGGCCTTGGCAGCATGCACCCCTTTAACAGCCCGTGACGGGTTTTGTTTGCTAATGAATGGCTTCTTGGATGGCCGCACCAAAAACACGCCCCGATACTAGGTCTGATAAGGCTTACGGTCGTATTTGGTGTGGGCGAGTGCTACCCCCACCCCGGGCGGCCTCGATAGGGGCCGCCAAGCTGGCCTCCCCGATGGCCCCGATGGCTCACAGCTCGTGGCAGTAGCCTCTCCTTCTTTCAGGCAGCGACTCTCGCGGCAGACGCTGCCTTTTCTCCCATTTGATAGAATCGATAGGTTGCTGTTGCTTTTTGTGGCTTTCGGTGTGCTGTTGGTTCTAGCCCGAACCGTGGGCACTTCTTTTCGATGCGGTAGCTGGGAGCTATGATACCTGGCATTAGCCTAGAACACCATCCCCCGCTCACACAGATCCCGTCTGCCGCCTATCTCAGAGCGCATATCGGTCTTGTCTTACAACCATGCAGGTGTCTCGCCTGCCGTTACATTGTCCTGCAGGGACGAGATAGTGGGAGGCAATGAATATTTTCGGACCGCACCAATACTTGACGCTCACTAGCCAGCATCGCATGATTATCCGCTAGCACAGGCCTGGCGGGATCTAAATGCGAGCGAGCTCGGGTTGCACAGAGGTGCATCGGAGCGGCTCAGGGTGAGGTAGCGTCTCATAGGGTGAATATGTCTCCTTGCACTAATGGACGGGACTCTGTTGCCACCCTAGCACTTGATGACTGGCACTGCATTGCAGCGCATAAGGTGGTGCGCGACCGCTATCTATCCCGTATGTCACTTGTCGTTTGCTTATAACCTCGATAGCTACCCGGTCGCATTGAGGTCTTTCCTCTGCGGCTATTCCTAGCAGCTAGCCTGCCGTGGAACAGCTCTCGACGTTGTCATAGAGCCGATTTCAACAACGATCATATACTTAATCTAGTGTTTACCGCCTATTTTATATCCCAGTATAACACATTGACCTTTCCCGTCTTGCTGCCTTATCCATTCAAGTCCCTTCTTCACTATCGGTCCACCAACTTGCCAGCTAACGCGAGCGGCTTAGACTGCCCATGGTGGTTATGCCTCTTGTGGTTACCATGGCAAGATTTGGAACACTATTCAGGCATGGTGGTGTCAGAGTACAAGGGGATGGAGGTGACCAGGCCGAGGATGAGACGGTTGCTGCCATCCGGGACGGCGTCGTCGTCAATGCCTCTGGGCACAAGGACCAGCTCAAGAGACAGTACAGCCTGTTGACTGTATGTGGGACCGCAATGACCGTCGATAATGCCTGGGCTGCTTTGGGCTCGTCGTATTCAATCTCTATCCGTTAGTTCTCGGTCGACCCCTACATGACATGACGGCAGCGACGCCGGACCCGGCCAGTTAGCTCACAGCGGTATGCGCAGTCAACGGCGGACCTCCCGGCCTGATATTTGGCCTCGTAGTCGCAGCCTTCTATTATTCCTTTATCGGATTGAGTCTAGCCGAGGTAGGACATGTTGGGAGCCAACGGGCCCTTGCCAGCCCGCATCTCACAACCCTCACTGACGTCCAACCACCCCCGCGCAGCTGGCATCGTCAGTGCCGACCTCTGGTGGTGTGTACCACTGGGCAACCATTGCCGGAGGGCCAAGATGGGGCAGAATCTTGGGGTTCTTCACCGGATGGATCAACTTCTACGGCTGGATGTTCGATCTGGCAGCCCTTTTGCAGATCGCGGGCAACATCGCGACCAGCATGTATGCCGTCTACCACGGAGACACGTACGAGCCGTGGCCGTGGACCGTCTACGTGGCCTACCTGGCCGTGCTCTGGACCTCGACCTTCATCGTCATCTTCGCCAACCGCATCGTTCCTGCGAGCCAGAGCCTCGGCATGTTTGTGGTGCTGTTCGGCGGCATCGCCACCATCGTCGTGCTCGCCGTCATGCCCAGCAGACACGCCTCTAGTTACTTCGTCTGGGGCTCGTTCGACGAGAACAACAAGACGGGCTGGCCGAGTGGCGTCGCGTTCCTGCTCGGCGTGCTGAATGGAGCCTTCACCGTCGGCACGCCCGACTCGATATCCCACATGGCCGAGGAGCTCGCGCACCCGAAGAGGGATCTACCCAAGGCCATTGGCGTGCAGATCGGCAGCGGCTTCCTTTGTATGTGCTCAGCTACAGCCTGTCACAAGACAAAAGCCCACTAAATTGCACTTATATAGTATGAGAGCTGACGGTTTGTTGCTCGTTATGTAGTTGCGTTCGTCTTTGCGGTGACCCTGTCATACGCCACCACAGATCTGGATGCGCTGCAGGACGGATTCAACAGCTACCCCCTGGCAGGGATATATGCACAGGCAACCGCGAGCCCGGACGGGACACTGAACAGGGGCGCCACGTTTGGTCTCTTGTTCATCCTCATCACGTCGCTTTTCCTATGCTGCATCGGCACGCTCGTCACTGTATGTATTGCCCCTTCACCATCAACCCTAACTGAAGCCAGGGCTTGTCTGACCAGATCAACCCTAGAACTCCCGGCTCTATTGGTCCCTTGCACGAGACAATGCCGTCCCGCTCTCTGGCGTGTTCGGCCATGTCAACGAGAACCTGAGCTGCCCTGTTGCCGCGACGCTGTTTGTAGGTATGTGGAACCGCCAGCCGCCCGTCTGTCAGACATTGAGGTGATGGGAATCCGAGCTGACCTGTGACGAACCGGCATCAGCCGTCGTTGCGACTGGGCTTGGGGCCATCCCTCTAGGAAGCTCTACTGCCTTCCTCAGCCTCACGGGCTCATTCATCATCTTGACGACCGTGTCATACGCGATCCCTTTCCTGGCCAACCTGATGTCCGGGCGGAGGAATTTCCCTCCTGGCCCCTTCCACCTGGGCAGGTTGGGCGTCCCAATCAATATCACGGCCGTGATATTCATCACGCTATTTGACATTCTATACTGCTTTCGTGAGTCACACATATCCCCGACCTCTTGAAATTTGAAACGAAGCAGTGAGAGAGGCCGTCGCGCAAACGCGCATATCCAAAGCCACCCGTCAGCTGACCCCTCGATCCCTGCTTGCAGCATACCTCGTGCCCACAACGGCTGAGTCCATGAACTACAGCAGCGTGATCCTGGTGGGGACGGTCATGGTGACGGGCATCTGGTGGCTCATCCACGCCCGGGAGAACTATCCTGGGCCCAAAGTCCTGCAGCTGTACATTCACGCCGAAGGGAGCGACGATCAGGTCGCTAACAGGGTGGTGACGGAGAAAACGAGGGAGCCGGACCTGGTGGGAGGGTACAAGAGGTAGGGGTGGCTGAGGGGGGCACCACGGCAAGAGTTGGGGTGGCTGAAGGCCATGCTGTCTCGGCCTTTCAGAGGTGGCAGGCACCTGCAGGGCGGCGGGCTGACAGGTGGCCGGAGTGGGCATCGGCATGGGTGAGCAGATCTCTCGACCCACTCGGGCGACGACGAGGTTGATGCCTCCCTTTGCCGCCAGTAAGCCAGCGTGTGAGCACAGCAAGAGGCGGGCAGTGCAGGAATGGGATCGGACCCTCAAAGGATGCACGGTGTGTAGAAGAAAAGAAAAATAGTCCACCGAAGCGAGGAAACAAGCGTGGCGTTGAAGATCCGTGCCTATGGGCCGTGGGTGCTTTGCCATGGCGAGGCGATCGCGGGAGATGGTGCCACTTGCGTGACACTGGAACAGCAACAGGAAAAAATAAGGCAAGGCTCAACCAGAACATCCCATGAACCACCTTGACCCTCGATCGTGGATTGGCCACTTGGGGGAAATCGAGATTGGCGGGGTGAGAGGGTTGGTGGCGTGGCAGGCTGGGGAGAGGTTGTGCTTCCTTAGCGCGAGCCGAGGAAAAAAAGAAAAAAAAGGGCCGCCCCCTGAGTGGGTCGCCGCCATGTTTCGCGAGCAAAAAAAAACGCGGGTTCGACACGCGACGGGCTTGTTTGCTCGTTTTAGAGTCGCGTAAAGTGCCCAAGCACAGGCACCAAGCGGGACGTGCGAACCCGGCACGTCCAGGATGCCACCCCTCGAACCCCACATGCCGGGTTCTGGATGAAATGTTTGATGTTTCTTTTTTCGTCCCCTCACGCTCCCGCCATCGCCTCTGCTGGGGCGGGAGAAAAAAAAAAAGAGGTGTGTGTGATAGACATGGTCTCTCTTTTGTTTCCCCCCCTGCCAGGGGACCCCGGCCCCTCTCGATCGTTGTTTGCTGTGCGTACTACCTAGAGAGGTACCTTTGTAGGTACATAACGCGAGTGCTACGTAGGCACGATGATTCCGACGGCGGGAAACTGCGCGCGACGAAACTTTGCAGCAAGAGCGCCGCAGGCTAGTCTAGGGGGGTCTGCGTCAGCTAGATGGATGGAGGATCCCGAGCAGCCCACACATCCGCCGCATCCTTTGGCTTCCTCAACCCTTTCAGAGACGTTGTTGGCCCAGGAATAGGGCGTGGCGGGGCGGCTCCGGCCAAACTTTGACTGTGTACGAATGCCATGTCGAATGGGCAGGCAGGCAGGCAGGCAGGCAGACAGGCAGACAGGCAGCAAGCGCGTTGGCTGCATGCAGGCTGCCCCAGATTTTCCATCCATCTGCCTCGAGCCTGTCCGGCTGCTCAAAGAGGCGTCGACCATGGTAGAGTCATCACATCCGCCCTATGCACATGCCAGCACCAAGCCAGGGAAAGCAGCTCGATGTAAGTATGTAATGTAGGTTGGTTGGCGTGGTTGGATGCTGGGCAGCGGGGCGCTAGGAGCGTGTCGCCATACAACATCGGTCAGGGAGAACTCTGTCCTGTGGTTGGCTGGCTATTTCTTGTGATTGGCGGGTTTCCTGGTGTTTCCTTTCCACGGGTTCCAGGTTGCGGGTTCTGCGCTTTGATCTCCGGACGGGATTTTTTTTTCTTCTCTCTCTCTCTCTTTCGGGCCCGGGATGGACCCGGAAGCGGGCTGAGCGGTAGCAATTTTCTCAATATTGTGCAACGTCTCAGTCGCAAATGTGGGCGCATCTTGCTGCTGCAGTCATACTGTGCAGGCGCGCCGCGCGATCTCCAAGGGTCCGTTGCAGCCGCGGATGCCGTCAGCCGACAGGCGTGTTTGTCTGGCATCGACGTGTGCGCGTTCGGCGTTGCCTGGTCTCAACGACCTACATCCACGCGGAAGTGGATGGTGATGCATGCAAGAGAAAAAAAAAAGTGCCCCAGAAAGCCCGCAGAGCCGCATGCACAGTGAACATTTTCGCTCAATGTTCGTGCCCTTTTTTTCCCCGCTCCTGGATGGACGCTTTGGGCAGTACGTAAGCTGTTTTGCTGTCGACGGGTCAAACCTGCACGGGACTGGATCGTATGTGAGTAACAACACTGTTGGGCGGGAAACGGCCAGGATAGCCGCCTCATCGACCCCCTGGAGCAAACGAAGGCACACGGCGCGGGTAGCCAGTGTGTCAGTCAGGCTCGGCCGAATGGATCATGTGATTGCCCTGCATGCACTTTGCATAGACTTTGAGGCAACCGAGCGAGCCCAGACCCAGTCCGTTGGTAAGTTTGCCGCGCATGCGTTTCCAGAAGGGATGGAAGTTGGCTGTCGTCTGGTATGCACCTAGCCAGAGTGCCAGAGTGAAGACTGTCGTCATGCATTTTTGATCGGCTCAAGCTTCTGTTTCTGGACCCAGCGTCCCCGACGACGGCTTAGGTAAACCCCCACACTGGCCCGGCACTATGGCGTCCACCGTGTGCCCCATCGAAAGTCAGAGAGTGTATATGCACGAATTGAGTCACCAATGTCTGCAGCAGACAGACGGCTGGCATCAGGTGGGAGTGGCCGTCGGCAAGCGTGCGACTCGGGCTGGTCGTGCCCATGCGCTGCCGCCGTTCCATCCAGGTTTCTGATGGGGAAACATGTTGCTTGTTGCGGTGTGACTGTGAGAGCTGCAGCTCACAACCCCGCAGCAGCCAACCAAGCCAGCCAGCCTGCTCGTTGGTGTGGGAGTAGAGCCTGCCGGTATCTGCTGGTGCACGCGCTTCTAAGTGCAGGGCCCCGCTCCGTCTTTGGCGGCCGCTGTCATGGTAGCCTATCTAGGTAGGCAGGCCGGCTTGGATGCCCAACTTGGTACACACCTGCCAAGCATCTCTCCTTGCGTGTTGTGTTGATGTGCCGTAGGGAGGGGAAGTGGCCGGTCGGCCTGCTGGGAGCCCGCGATCTGAGATCTCGATTCCGGAGTCGAGACACCTCCTGTCGGCTCGCAGGGCCAGGACCAGGACCACGCGGGTGGGGCCCAGATACGGTTACGTGCCGAGTCCGATTTTTCCTCATTGTCAACTCTCCATCCTGTCTCGTGGTCACTCGGCCCTCGTCGTCGGCGCGGCCTCACAAATGTCTGCCCGCTTTCTCCATCCGGCAACCCAGGTCGGGCCCACTGCTCTTTTGCGCGAAAGTCAAAATCGCGGTTGAACATGAAAAAGTCAAGAGCCCACATCACTCCCAAGAGCCCCCTTTTTATTGGACCCAGACTCATGGATGGGCGTCGGTTATGCGTGCATGGACGGGCTAGGGCAGGCGGCGCTGTCGCGAGATTTGGCCCCATCATGACACGCATGAATAATTTTGTGCGGTGTAGACATTGTGCTCGTGCTCCCCATTGCCCAGCTTCTCTTCATTTTTCTTCTTCTCGCTTGGCTGGTTCCGTGCCTGTGCTGGTGCTGCTTTGATTTGCTGTCGGGCGGTCCGGGAAATGGGCTGCGGCCAAACGCCTGCTGCCGTGCGTGCGGTTCGCGTCATTGGCCCGCAACAATGGATCGAGCTCGAGTGCTCCGAGATAAAGGCGGAGGACGACACTGGCTGCAAGGACGCTGGCTCCAAGTGCCCGAGGGCCAGCCCAGCCCCCCCAGCCTTCTTGGGCTGGCGGTGCCTTGCTTTTGGGGTGGTATCCGTTGTCCCCATTCGGCAAGGCATAGACTTGGACGAGTGCGAGCTGGTGGGCGCGAGCGGCGGAGTTGCATCCGGATTGAGTGCGAGGTCGGCCGGCCGCCCTCACTTCTTGGACTGAGTAGCATCCGCAGGCACGGAATGCCTGGTCGGTGCGTGCCATGGCACGACGATGCGCGAAACACTGGACGGCTCTGCTAGAAACAACGGCAGCCGAAAGCCAATCCTGTACGTGCCGAGAAGCCAGCCAGGACAAGGTATGTGTGTGCGTGTGTGTGCGGTAGCAACAGGTACACATGCACACCTCTACTACAGTACCACACACACACACACACACACACACACACTCGCGTCTCCAAAACTTGGGTCTGTAGGTCTACGAACAGGTCGGATGGCCAGTCTCAAGCCTCTGGTTGGTAGGCGATCAAGGCGCAGAGAGGTGGTGGGCAACAAACAAAACCAATGCATTACGGTTGCAAGCGGAGGAGCCAACAAACAAACAATAAGACGGCCGATCTCATCTCGGCCATGCCACTCGAAGCTGTCAACAAGTGACAAGACCCAGCCCTTCCCTCGACACAATCGCCATTAGTGAGTGCGTCACCAACGCCTATTGGCTGATGTGTCTTCCAGCTGGCGACGCGAGTACACACCCCCCTGGAAAAAGCCTGGAAGGAGGAGAAGGAGGGGGTTGCGACAGGCCAATGGCCGGCTCGTATTATCTACCCGCATGCTGAACGACGTGATGCCGGCCCTGCTGGACTAGCCTCCTCTTTTATTTCGATTCTTATTTTCTTTTTCCTTTTCGTTTCCATCTTCTCTCGCTGGCTAAGTCCCCACGCCCGGCGACGCCCCACAGCCCAACTCCCTTGCCGAGCTTCTACCCGATGCCTACCCCAGCACACAATAGGGAGCGACACAGGAGGTCGCGGACGGACGGGCGGGAAACGAAATGGAGTGGAACCGTCCTTTGGGTATCGGCATGGATGATGTCGAGCATCCTCCATCCATGTTTGCGCGTCGCCGTGGTGCTGGTGGTGGTCAACGAGTGGCTATCGCGCGCGACAGAGGAGGCCTGCAAGCCCTGCGTAGCTCCAGGCGACCGTGTATCCCTGCCCGCCGCACATTGGCTGGGTTGGGGAGGGCCCGTTCGGGCAGAACAAGCAAGGGGACGATGGGACCAGATGCGCGAAGCTGCATGGTGGTCAGGCTACCAAGTAATACCGCAGGCACTTGAGGCAGGAGGTAATTGCTGCTCACTCTCAGGTTCCCTACGGACACAGTCCGCCCGCATGCGCCTGAGATGGTCGGTTACGACGTATGCAGGCCGCTTTGTCGGCAGGTCAGTCTGCACATGCGTCCCACAGCCAGCCAGCGACGAGCAGGCGGCGCGGCTGCTGACCATGGTCTGAAGTGCATGTTCGTACTGTTTACTGCCTTGGAGTGTGCCCAGCACAAGTAGGGCGGCCCCTCTTCATCGGGGCGGATTTTCCTTTTGTGGTAAGATGGGTGATATGAAGATG